TTTTTTCGCGACAAAGGTTTGATGATTTGCAGGATCTGAGACAGGAAGTGTTAAATATTATTTTTATCTATGAAATCTGAACAGTTAATACACATATTTGATGACTGCTTTAAGCGACATAAGAAATGTATTGAGTTAAACAGTGACTGTGTCGAGAAAAGTTATAAAATGTATTAAGCTTTTGACGTCAGGAACGTCAAGGATTTTCATTATAGTACTCCGGGTATGAGTGTGTGTCTTTTTTTGTATCTGATAAAAATATAACTATTTGTGCTTTGTTTTTGTTTAAAATGTGCATATGTATAAAATGAAACATTAATTTAATGAAAATCACAGTTTCATATATTTTATCAATGTTTGTCAGTAATTATCAATGTTGTCCACGAACTTTACGGACAAACCTCGTAATTGCTACGAATATAATGGAAACCAAAAAGATGACATGTCTTTTCGAACCTTTGACAGTATGTTCTATCTAGAATCTTTTACATATATACATGTAATTCTAAATAAATAATATAAATAGAAAATATACAAAGATGAGTTGTAGTGTGTCTTTATGAAACCATTAGCCATATCTATCACCTGGAAGAATAATCTTATAATTAAAAGTACCGTAAGTGAGGGTAATGAATCTTTAATCAATGACAGAATATGAATTATATTGGCCTTTGCTTAGACTACGTTTTCTGAATTCATTTAGAGTTCAGGAACCCTGACCATTGTACCTGCTGAGCTTGTGTCGGCGTGGGAGGTCCTCTGTCCTGTGCCTGTCCACTATGATTCCCCTTACAGGTGACAATCATTAAACGGTAGCATTTGCAAATCCAAATAGGCATAATAAAAATAGTTACCGTATATACTCGCCTATAAGTCAGTATTTTGGGAGTTAAATTTTAGTCCAAAAGTCTATGTCCGACTTATAGGCGAGTCATAAAGAGACTGGTATTTTTTGGATGGGAAATCGAAGTATTATATAAACAATTTCGACAGCTATCGTTGAAGAAAATTTGGATATATTATTTCATTTATGTATTTTAAAATTATACATAAATTACGTGTATTTTATATACAAGTTTTTAATAATTTATTTTTTTAATCTTAAGAGGGCATTATTTATTTTTTTATGATATAAAGTTAAATATCGACTTTTTTCCTAAAAAATATGAATTGAAATCAGCCTAAATCATCGGAGCATTTGTTACAAATTGTCATCTGATTCTGGCAAAAAGTTATACCGGTTTATAAGCGGGTGAATGGCAAATCCTTGTCAAATAACCTCAAAAGATACAACCGACTTATAGGCGAGTATGTACGGTATTCCTTTAAGAACGCTGCAGCAGTACAACGTCTCGATCTCATTAGACAATGTCACCTTTAGCAATGAACAACCATACACAGTGTACGACTCCGTTTGTCAACAGTGTGATGTCACAGGACAATGTCATTTTAAGGTATGATGTACGTGTATTTTATACGGAGACTGGCTAATTTTGAAAAATGAAATCTTTTTCCCCCTAGAATGACGCCTGTTTAAGTGACGGAAACTGTTTCCAATCAGGTTACCTGAATCACGAGCACAAGAAAGTTTGTGACCCATCTCGGTCACAGAATTATTGGTCAAGTCCAGGTAAGTCTTAATATCAAATTAAGATATCATGTAAGTTACAGTACAATGCAACTATTATTTACCAGGAACAAATCAATCACAATACCATCTGTCTTTAGGACTTGAGGAAAATCTTAGAATCAGATCAATTTTAGGAACAATAACTGTTAAATCCTAGTGAGGTTGGGAAATCGGATAAGTCACTGTATCATGATCAAACTAAAATATAGAAATAAATTTGTAAATTTCAATAAGTGAAATATGTGTCCTATCGCAGGACAGCAAGATACCGTTACACAGAAAACCAGTATTTTTTAATCCTTATCCAAGAAAAATAGTCTTTCAAAAATCTGTTGCAATTATCAGTGATACCAACGTTTGCGCCCCGTTATTAACAGACCTATTTTTGTATTCACATGAAGCAGAATTTATGCAAAAATTTATACATGGAAAGAAGAGAAAACTTTTGTAGCCTTCAACTCAACATTTAGATACTATAATATATCAACGACATATTGTCAATTCACAATGGTGTTTATTCTTATGCCGACATATATCCTGGTGATTTTGAAATAAGATACCACAGTCTGACACCTCTGTTTCATATTTGAATATTTTACTAGAAAAAGATGTTAAAGGTAACCCAACAACTAAGTTTTATGATAAACATGATGACTAGCATTTTAATCGTCAACATCCCTTAATTCCTTATCACCTGCATAGGGGTTTTATATCTCTCAGTTGATTCGATACGGAAGATCAAGCTCTTCTAAGGAACAATTTCTAAAACGAGTTAAGTTATTGACAAATAAGTTGATGAATTAAGAATATCAACAGTCTCGTTTAAAGTCATAATTTTAAGTTCTATGGTCGATGACATAATAATGACTTTGTAAGCAAATACTATCTATCATTACGTCGAAAACCGACTGTCGTTTTTGATACTTACTGTTGGGACATTATTTACACACTAAATTGTCGACGGATTTTTCCGTTATTTCCCGATCATGTCAAGGTGCAAATCGCGGATGCGACCGCTTAGCAGGGGATTTTCACTCCTCTATGGTACCCGATCCCACAAAGTATGTTTTAATGGTCCGTGTTTGCTGTGCTCCTGATTTGTAAATGTACTTCTAAGCTTCAATACTGTTTTTTATCTCCATTTGTTGCACTTAAAAGCTGTACAAAGCAGGGGCATGGCATTAGCAGTTTTGCTTGTGTTGGTTAATTCTTAGCATAAATAAGTCGTATTTCTTAATTGTAAGGTGGAAAAGAAGTTTTGATGATTTAGCATTGCACTAATTCAGACCCTTGGTCTTGTTGAACTATTTAAAACTGGATTCATGTTTGTTTATATCCTCTACGAATTACTTAAATTGATATAATTATAATATTAGCAGTGTTTTTATATTACAAAATATAAGGTAGTATTTTTAAGTTTTTGGGGTATTTTTTGGCAATTCTTTCAAAGGTATTAAGATTCACAAAATTTGTTTTTTTTTACTCTCTTTTGTAGATAAAACTTTTAAAAAAATACATTTGAACGCAATATTACTTATGTGATAATATACTTTCATATTGATATATTTTCAGAAGGTATAGTTTAAATATCTTATCGTCATAGAGTAAGCACAAATTGAAAAAAAAATGATTTTGTGAACAATCTTTCAGAACTGGATCATTACACTGCCATTAGCAATGGCTGCCAATGCCAACACGAGCAGTCCAGCTACAACTGTGCATGCTGTAGAAACGGTGGCTGCCAATGTCCGAAGAATCCGAACAAATGTGGCAACTGTCACCACTTAGACTGCTAATATAGCAACTGTAACCACTTAGACTGCTAATGTGGCAACTATCACCACTTAAACTGCTAATGTGAGAAATGTCATCACTCAAGACTGCTTTAGTGACATCTGTCTCCACCTAGATTGCTTTGATGTACCATAAACTATCTAAAATTAAATCTTAATTTTCAAATTTTAATTGTCTGACGATAAATAAAATTTTTAAAACATCTGAAAGCTTATCTTGTAGGATCTTTAAGATTGTCAAAGGATATCCGAAGGGAAGGATAAAGGTTTTAATTGAAAAAAAAGTGTCGACGAGAACCACAACGTGTGTGGGTTTTGTTTAGTGTGACTGCCGATTTAGATATTCTTCATGCAAAATAAACTATCATTAATTAAAAGAGAATACTTAGCTTCAGACACTTAATTCTTGTGACGCATATAAGGCATTTTAATCCCAATGCAACGGATTTAGAGGGGATGCAATACATTGTAATGCTGTTGCGTATGTGTGTGTGTGGGGGAGGGGGGGTATTTTGCCTGGATTGGAGACCATATACTTTTGTTGCCAGGGTATGCTTGGCGATGCCATGCTTTGAAATTGACATGGAATTCAAATTATACAACTATTTACTAAAATGTTTTGCTGATTCTGTGGTAGTTGTAATTTTTATATTTTTAGGATATGTATTTTAAATTGTACAAATTATTCTCATTTTTTATTTTATTCATTCAGTCATTCAATCATTCATTCAGCGCTGTGCAATGCGATTTACTAACTCTCTATGTTGTCTTGTTCAGTGTCTGTTATAAACCTAAACACCCCTGTTCAGTTAAATGTTGCATTCCAGGTAGACAACCAGGTAATGTAGTGAATGGGTTATTCCATTATTGAGTGTTACATTGATTTCTATTGGTCAGTGTGGTTGAATGGTTCTAAGGTAGAATTGGCGGGAATTACTTTCATGATTTCCCTTATTCTGAGAACTGGTTTTCGAAGGGTGTATACCTGTATATAGTGATAAAACATAATTCATAATGTTGGAGATACCACCCTTATTCCTGTAAGTAATTCAATGAATAGTTAAACTATTAATTAGGTATCTAAATAATTATGTTCCCCAAACGAAGTTGGGGAACATATTGTTTTTACTCTGTTTCTTATTATTATTATTATTAGGTCTTTCCACCTTTCTGTGGAAAGACCTATTGATATTCTTCTGTTTATTATTATTCTTTTTTCTTTTTAGGTCTTTCCACCTTTCTGTGGAAAGACCTATTGATTTTCTTCTGTTTCTTTTTTTTATTATTATTTTTTATTATTTTTCCGCCGTGTGATTTTGAGTTTCAAGATTTATCGAAAAGATTTTTAGTTCATAAGAATGTACTTCATTAAAGATTTTCGCAGTTGACCCTGCGTATATGAACTTTGATCCCTTTCGGAGTTATTACCCCTTTCGCAAGAAAGCTTGTTATCGCTACTCCTCCGAAACCATAAACCGTAGAGAAATGAAACCTTCACTATTGTCTTCAACTAATTTAGTAGACATTCCAATGATTTATTGCGAAAGTATTCATTGACCCGTTCAAAGAGTTATTGCCCCTGAAACTTTTTGAATTTTACAAATAATTAAAAATTTTCAAAACCAGAGGTCGTAGAGATATGAGACCAACTGCATAAGATTCATTGACCTTTGACCTTAAAATTCATTTAAAGGTCAAAGGTCAAGGTCATTCCAAAAATGAGAAATTTAGCTCTTTTTGTATCTCTTTTGTCTTTCATCATATACTTAATGTGTATGCATCATTAATATGTACTTTTAAAACTATTTCAAAGATTTCATTCTTGTCCCTTAACATTAAACCTTTTTAAAGTTATAGCCCCTTTTGCGAAAAACCTTGTTATCGCTACTCCTCCAAAACCATGAACCGTAGAGAAATGAAACCTTCTCTAACGTCTTCAACTAATTTAGTAGACACTCCAATGATTCATTGCAAAAGTATTCGTTGACCCTTCAATGAGTTATTGCCCCTGGAAGTAATTGAATTTTACAAATAATTAAAAATTTTCAAAACAAGAAGTCGTAGAGACATGGGACCAACTGCATAAGATTCATTTACCTTTGACCTTAAAATTCATGTAAAGGTCAAAGGTCAAGGTCATTCCAAAAAATGAGAAAATCAGCTCTTTTTGTATCTTTTTTGTCTTTCATTATATATTTAGTGTCTATGCATCATTAATATGTACTCTTAAAACTGTTTCAAAGATTTCATTCTTGTCCCCTAAGATTAATCCTTTTAAAAGTTATTGCCCCTTGTGCGAAAAACCTTGTTATTGCTACTCCTCCAAAACTGTAGACCGTAGAGACACCAAACCTTCACTAATGTTTTAAGGGTCTTAAGGTAGAATGGGATATCTCCATGTTATGACGTACTTCCGTTTGAAATATTGTTTTGATTTGCATGAGCGCTTATTATCGGGTCAAAAATTGTAGATACACCGTTTAAAAGAACAAACTGTAGCTAATTCAATGCAAGTTCACATAAGTCGGCATTTTAACTAAAATAGAAAAAAAGTAAACAACTTTACTTTTAATTGTACTATGGACATTTAAAAAGCAAACTCTGTAAATCATATAGTTTGAACATTGCAGTGAAAAGCTGTCTTTCAATTGTTTAACTGTCCACTACCCCAGGTGTTTAATGAGGCATGGATAAGTATGAGGATTTCACATTGTGCTTAATAATTAACAATCAATCATCACGTTAACCAGGACTGGTTGTCTTTGTTATTGAATACAAGAAATAACTGTTTGGTCAGAAATCAGCTAGCTGTTGGATATAGTCCGAATACTTTTAAATGAATGTAATAGCTCGATCTGAATGAGACACGTTTTGAAAACGATTGTCCAGGCATTGTCTTCAAAACAGTTCTAAGGTAAAGACTACCAACGAAAGAAAGTGCGATTTTTTATATCGGTGATAAAATGCTGAATCATTTTTTAAATAGCACCCAGATTTTTTCAACCCCTGGAAAATAAAGAAAGATAACTCTTCCGATCGGATCTTTTAATCCAAAAATATTTAAATGCATCCGATATTTTCCATTTATATATATTTTTTCAATTTCTTTATTTCAATCTGCCGACATATTAATATGCATTCTAATTGTAGATTTTCATGCAATTTTATCCGTCTGTTTTCAAGAAATGAAGTTTTCCCAGTTTTTTACGCTTATTTTCTTTCAAATAAAAAAAAATACGAAAACATATTTCTTGTCATTTTTGTTTTTATATACACTTGATAATAGAAAACTTCTTCCTATAATTTTAAGCTTTTGATATAAGAATTATATGAAAAAAAAATCATTTTTGTATTTCTCATTAAAATAATAAAAAAAATTATCAAAATTACAATTTAACATACTGATGCATGATGGCATTTCAAATCCTCCTAATTTAGGTACATGAATATATAGGAGAAATTTCGTTTGGTATCCCATACCACCTTAAGGCATAACTTCACTATATAAGTGGAAAAGGATCTGATGACCCCTTATATGAGTTATTGCCCTTTAACTTCTTTGTACTTCCTATTTAACCTCATAACTTGAAAACTATAAGTCATAGAAGCATGGGGTCAATTGCATTGTGACCCTTGACCTTTGACCTTGAAAAATTTTCCAAGGTCAAAGGTCAAGGTCATATAATTTTTTTTTTCATTTTTAATTTTTGATATCCTTTAAGACAATTTTGGTTTCTTATTCATGGAATTAAATTTTAAAACAAAATTAAAATTCAAAGAAGGTGGAAAGACCTCTTATTGTTCTTTGAACAATAAGTCTCCTAGTCTTATTTTTTATTATTTTTCCGCCGTGTGATTTTGAGTTTCAAGATTTATCGAAAAGACTTTTAGTCGATAAGAATGTACTTCGTAAAAGATTTTCACAGTTGACCCTGCGTCTATGAACTTCGACAACTATCGGAGTTATGACCCCTTTCGCAATAAAAGGTTGTTATCGCTACTCCTCCGAAACCGTAAACCGCAGAGATTCCAAACCTTTATTAATGTCTACGACTGATTTAGTAGACTCTTCAATCAAACATTGCGAAAGGATTCGTAAACTCCTATAATGAATTATTGCCCCTGAATGTTTGCGATGTTTACGAATATCAAGAACTTTTCTAAAACGACAAAGTGTAGAGACATGGGGCCAACTGCAAAAGATTTCTTGACCTTTGACCTTAAAATCTAGGTCAAGGTCAAAGGTCAAGGTCATTCAAAATATGTAAAATTAAGCATTTTTTATAGCTCTTTTGTTCTTAACCAAATTCTAAACTTCTTTGCATTTTTAGTATGTACTCTTAAAACCATTTCAGAGATTCCATGCTTGTCCCTTAAGATTGAACCCTCTAAAAGTTAGTGCCCCTTTCATTGTAAACCCTTGTTATCGCTACTCCTCCGAAACCGTAAACCGTAGAGGTATAAAACCTTCAACAATGTCTGCGACTAATTAAGTACACTTCTCATTCTATTGATGCGAAAGAATTCGTAAACATTTAAAGTAGTTATTGCCCCTGGCAGTTTATGATGTTTACAAAGAACTAAAAACTTCTTAACGACAAGTCGTAAAGACATGGGCCCAACTGCATGAGATCTTCTGACCTTTGACCTTGAATATAAGGTCAAGGTCAAAGGTCAAGGTCATTGGGAAAGTATCAAAATTGCTTATTTACGGGCTTTTGGTTAAAATGACCTTGACCTTTGACCTTGATATTTGAACTTGACCTTTGACCTTGACCTTTTCTCAAAAGGTTAAAAAGATATATATTCATTTTCTTTACCTAGATTCAGCTTCAAGTGTTAATCTCAAGTTTACCTCTCTCTTTTTTTTTTTTTTTTTTTGGCATGACCTTGACCTTTAACCTTGATAAATGACCTTGACCTTTGACCTAAAGGTCACATTCAAGCATAAGTATGTGGAGGTATTTATAATTCTCACGTCAAAAAAAACTTATATAATACCCCCCCCCCCCCCCCCGATTTCTCTAAAAAAAAAATCAATAGCGGCATAGAAAATTTTTCTACAACTCAAAGGACATAAAAGATCAAGATTAAATTCAGTTTAGCATGTAGAAGACACCTCAAAGAAAGCGCCCTGAGAGTTTTACGGTGAGTCTCTTAAGTACAATTAAATTCTA